AACGATGTCGAAATAGTCCAATTAGCTTCGTTTTGCATTTAATATCTCTATTTGCATCCTAAATCAAAATATAAGAATAATGAGTACTTTTAGGCTTCAAATAAGTATAAAAGTCTTTAAGAAACACCCTTTATCACCTTTTATTTGCAAACATCGCAAAACTTTATTAATAGCCGATTCAGATGGGTAAAATAGAAACTTTAGTGTTTCGGGTGTACGTTGACTTGTGTTTTGAGATAAATCATAAAAATAAATGTTTTTAGGTTAAAATAACATTAAAAATGAATCCAAAACGTCGAAAAACCTTAGGGGAGTCATATGGATCAAATTGGAGATTCTTAATGACAAAATCGTAAATTTGGAGAAACTCAAAATAGCCTGTGAATAGTATTTTTTCAGGCTGCTATGTTTTAAACTCATTTTCATTTCATTTGCTCTCATTTCCTTCACTCCCCTCACACCCCCACACCTCTTGAAACCCTAGAGAGCATTAGAGAAGAAGAAAGGAAGGGAAAAACAAGAGATTCAAGAGTGATTCAAGATCAAATATTCTTGTTCTTCACTCGAAGGTTAAGGATTCAAGGTAGGGGTTTTCTCTCATTCACTTACATTGAGGCTAGGGTATTTATATATGTATGTTTTAACTATCAATGGTATATATATGCTATGGAATCATCCTTTCTTAGGCTTTTTGCAAGGATTACATGTTTTGAACAAAGTAGGGTTTAATACCCATGAAATCTCCTTTCTAGGTTTAAAACCCTAATTTTCAGAGAGTGATGTATTTCTTCCTAAATGCTTTCTTTATTATGGATTTCGAAACCTTAGTGCTTTGTGTTGGGTAGAAAAATGATGTTATTGTGATCTCATGTATTTTCTTAGTTGGTTGTGGAATTGTTATATGATATATTTTGGGAATTTTGGATAGATGCTTGTAAATTGAGATAAATGTTGTAATTCTATGCTTGGTTGGGTTGTTTATGATGCACATGAATGAGAGGTTCCTTGTAAGGATGTTCACCCCTTCCCAAGAGGTTCCCGATAAGGATGCTTGAGAATCAAAGGTGACCTAAAGAGGGGTGGAGGTTACCACAAAGTATGCCACCTACCGAAAGAATTGTTGGGAATTGGTTATGACAATTAATGGTTATTATTTGTATGTGGTGCTCATTTATTCATTTAAGTAATGTTTTTAAATAAACTTGAGATTCTTTTTAAATGTCACTGCTTTATTTCAAATTATGTATCTATGTTATGTTAAAATTGAGACCGACCATTTTAAATGCTTTTCTAAACCTTGTATGGGTTTGGGAGAATTTTTCTACAGAGCTTCGTGCTCACCCCCTATCGCTAACATTTTTCAGATTACNTGTTATGTTAAAATTGAAACCGACCATTTTAAATGCTTTTCTAAACCTTGTATGGGTTTGGGAGAATTTTTCTGCAGAGCTTCATGCTCACCCCCTATCGCTAATATTTTTCAGATTACCCGCTTGAAGAGGAGGACGTAAGGGTCGAGGAGCCCGCTACTTGGGAGACTCCACTGGACGGGAGTGTGGATCCCGAGGTGGACGCATAGAGCGACCTCCTTTCCTTTTGTACTAGACTAGGACATTCTTTTGGAACATTGTGTAGTCTAGCTTCTTTTGTTTATTCCGCTGCGCTTCTTTAATTAATTTTTGAGATGTAATAGCCATGACTTGGGCTTATTCTTTTGGATAATGTTGTAAATATTCGTGGATGACAAATGAAGTCTTGTTTCTTAAGGGATTATATTAGTGCTCTCATGATATGAATGGTTTTAGAATGTAATGTCATCCAGTGTGTGTTTTGGGGCGTTACATTGTCATCATAGTTCCTATTTTAAAATGCAGTTTGAGTGTGTAGAATATAAAAACGGTTTTGTTTTATATGTATGTGTCATTCAATTTCAACGAACATTAGCTTCCTATGGGTTCGTTTGGTTAGGAAAAAAAAATATGGAAAGTGAAATCATTGGAAAAGAAATTTACTTTTTATTCATGTATAAGGTTAGCATGAAAAATTTGTAAAAAAGTTATAGAAAATTTTAATTTTATTATTTGAAAGGTAGGAAGGCTAGAATTAAATATTCCTTATTGTCTAGATTGTCCTTATCTGTATTAAATTTGAATAAATAAAAAAAATGTATTATACCTAAAAAATAAAAAAGTGTCTCCTAGGCTATTTCTGGGACAATGATCGAATCGACCACAGGACTGCGGGATAGATACTAGGACATAGAAGGGTAAAATGGAAACTCAAATTATACATCATCATTTTATTGCTTTTTCTTATGTTTTTTATAAGAAAAAAAGTTGGTTATTTGTGAAAAAATATATACATGTGAAAAAATTAATTCTTAATTGTTTTCCATTTTATGCTAACCAAACACATAGAAAATTTGTAGATTTTTCTTTTCTTGCATTTTCAACCATGATCTCGCTAAACAAATCAACTCTAAAGTTGACGGTCATGACACTTTTAGATCTTTTTACGAAGAAACTTTAGGGTCTGAGACTTTTTCTTTCTTCATGGACATAGTTTGAGCATCTACAATATGAGAGTGTCATCATCTTAAAAGTTGGTCTCTCTTTCAGTTTTGACAAACACTAGTCTTTCAAACTTGACATACATTGCACTTTTAAGTCTTTCTATGACGTAAATTTGGGGCATGTTTGTCTCTTTCTTCATTAACATTGTTTGAGGGTTTGGAATATGAAAGCAATGGTATCTCACATGTTTGGACTCCCTTTCAACAATAAAACACTGGCTTCCTAGAGTTGATGGTTATTAATGCTTTAAAGCATTCCATGAAGAACCTTCAAGGATCGGGTATGCCTCTTTTTAATTTATTTAGTTTGAGCATCTGGAATATGAAAGCAGCATAGTCCTATATTTGGACTTAGTATCAACATACACTAACATCTCAAAGTTGACGGCCATAGCACTTTTAAATCTTTTCACAAAGCTACTTTGTGGCTCGTGGCTCGTGCCTTTCTTTCTTCACAATTCACGAAAAACTTATTTGGTTCCTAGCTTAGATTGCATATTTCGGTTCAATCTTCGAACTATTTTTCCTCAGATGAGTCATGGAATATTTCAAATTGAGCCAACGTGAAATTTTCATCTAATAGATAGAATTATTATTTCGAGGATATAATCATACACCCCACTTGTACCTATGAAACTAAATAAAATTCATAAGCACTATCAATTTGAGAAAACACCAACTTAACCTTATTCCTCATGATCATTCGCTTAAACATAATGTCTAGTTTTTTTGATCCTTTATAGGCTTTGTGCAAAGCCCTTTCTTTAGAACTTCTTACAGTGGTGCACAAAGTTAACTATGCATAATCAAATCAGTCGAATGTGTGGCAATTAATAATAAGAGACAATTGATACTGTGTTGAGACATAGCAAAAAGGGTTAGATTCTTCCTTGGGTGCAAGATCTAATTTTATCAGTCACACTCTCCGGTGGTGCAATGAGTCTATGAAAGTGTAGTGGTGTACGCAGAATCCGAGGTGGGATGTTCTCAAAATCTGTATCAGTTTGGTAGCCCATTGGTGGAAGTCTATAAATTACCTACCCCATAAAAACAAGATATTAAATGAAAGGCCATTGTTTGAGCATAACTCAATGGTGTGGGCGTGGAATGCCTGATTCATGTGCATGGCATCACATGTGTGATGAGAACCCAGGGGTGAGTTTGAGATTGGTTTCGCATGCATGAAGCATCATGTCATGTTATGGCATCGTTGGTGGTATTATTTATGTCACATGTTACATATATGAATGCTTGAGTTATAAGAATGTATGTTACCATTATATGCATCATTGGGTTAGGAGGCGTACTTCTTAGAAGATACCCTGCTAGGCATTACCTCACTGCATTGTGGGAAAACATATTTAGTTACAGTGCATGCTTCCGCAGATGACCCACACCCGGGCCCAGCTTGACAACGAGCCAAAGTCTGGCCTTTTATTTTGATGTGTAGATACTTCATCCCAAATATAATTAAATTGATAATCTTGTAGTTTTGGTTTATACAACATATGTATATTCTTTTGTAAAGGTGTGTAATCTTAAAAAAATGTTGTTTCTATTCTTTTGATAAATGATTTCTACCTTTGTAGTCGCTTAAGTGTTGACATTAGACCTAGGAAGGTCATCATAAATATACTAGAGATAGGTTGTGTTTTGAGTGGAGCTCTCCGTATAAAGGAGATTCCGTCAGAATTTTGTTGAAATTGGTCCACTAGGACTAAGACCTTAAGTAAATTAATAAGGCTTAACGAGTAATAAGGACCCCCGGGAATTGGGGCATCACAGAAAGCTCATTAGCTAGACGGTTAGGGGGCATCTCCTATAAACAACAAAGGCAAGGCCACCAAAAAGTGATCCCTCGATCAACACTGCAACTCTACATAGGGCTATCCTATCTTTTACTAAGTTTATTTTTCAGCAAATTTACTTTAAATTGTAATCCATCACTCCGGTGATTTTTTTTATATTTAATGTTAAGTACAATAGTATTTTCATCTTCTTAGTTTAGCTTTTTTGCTACTTCACATTTCAATTGTCTTTCTACATTCTAGCCTCTTCTGTTACCATGTGGAAATTATTTAAGTCCTTGATCCCGAAGGAATAATAAAAAACTCAGAGGTAACCTTATGCTTTTGTACGATCACCTGAACAATCACAATTTAAGAACCTCACGTCAGGTCAAATAGGTAAGGTCATACGTGTTTAGTTATTAAGTCCAATTAGGCTTTGACACGCCCACAATTTAAAAATACGCTAAACGCAATAACAACAACAAATACATAAAGATTCAGCAACTTAATATTACTTGTAGTGCACAAAAGTCTTGGGCACCAACTCTTAAAGATATAAGGGCCCCATTTTTATTATATTGTCTTAAATGAGTTCATGAACCCATTTTTATTACATTGCCTTAAATGAGTTCTTGAAATTAGCAAATAACACATTGGGTTGTTGGATTGATTGCAACAACTCTAGCATAATTTGTTAGCATTGGAGGAGAATATTCATGATCAATGTCTCCTGTTGCTTTCAATTTCTTCTCCTCGTTGTCCATGCCAATCGTATCAACCCCTACATAATTATAAACAAAAAAAAAATTAAACTTGAGAAATTTTAAATTTCATTATCTGAGATTTTGTTCCTAAGAATTCATTACATTTGAGCACTAAAGATTTTAAGAAAACACCTGAGAGGACAGAGACTGTCCTAACCACTTTTTGCTTGGCTTCGTCATCATGCAGTTCCAATTTGAGTGCCAGTTCCTATAACAAAAAAATTAAAGAACAACATAACCAAACATATATTTTGATGGCATATGAGATTCACATGAAAAAACAAAACCCTAGAGACAACATTTATGCATGTATACATCTACATGCATATATATCTCTTAGGAGAAAGTAGTAAACCATGTGTTGAATTGGTAGGAACCCAAAAAAATGATTTTATTAAAAGTTTAATTTAGCAAAGATTTTAAAATTAACCAAATGAAAGCCTGTCAAAGTCATCCACGTAGCGTTTTGAATAAAACACAACAAAATTTTGAAAACCTAGTGAAAATTTCACATACTTGGAAGTTTTGTGTATGTATATGCTTAAGTAAAGGAAAAATTCAAATCCAAATAAGATTCATAGTACAATGCAACAAATAGGTGATTATATGTGAAGTAAAGTGAGATTTCTAACCTCCATTTTCTTTTGAAGTTTCAAGATCTAAGTTGAGGTCCCAGAGAAGGTCGTTTAGCAAGTTTTCATCGAAGAGATTTCAAGAAAAAAGGAGGAAACAAAATATGTGAAGGGCCTACCAAATTGAAGGTACCCTAAAGGCATTTTATAATGAGTGAGTGAGTTGGGGGAAGGTGAATGAGTCAAAGGTTACAACTGCATCGTTGTCATTGTAATTCATATTTTAAAACGTAGTTTGAGCATTTGGAATATGAAGACAACGTTGTCTTACATGATTGGCTTTTCTGTTAATTTTGGCAAACATTAGTTTTTTAAACATCCATTTGGTTATGAAGAAATAAATGACTAAAAGTGACAATGATAGAAAGTAAAGGGACAAAAAGGATAATAAAAAGAAATATATTTTTAGTCATGTATTTGGTTAGAATGAACAAATTAGTTGAATGGTAGGAAATTTACAGGAAAATATTCTTAGTTGTTCAAATTATCCCTAAATATATTAAAGTTGACTAAATAAAACAAACAAACATGTACTATACCCAAAATTTAGAAGAAAAAAAAACAAAAATTCTGGGACAGAGATCAGCTAGACCCAGCGCGGACAGACTCCATGCCTGGCCAAATCCATACCAAGCTTTTTAAAATTAATAAACATTGAAATATTTTAGGACAAAAAAGGGTAAAATAGAAACTCAAATTATAGACCACTACTTTCTACCACTATTCGGCTAAAAGAGGATCTAAAAGGGTAATATGTCCAATGCTTTCCATTTCATGCTAAATAACCGCATAAAAAAAACTTAAAAATTTTTCTTTCTTTCATTTTCTACCACTATTCAGCTTAACAAACAAAACTTAAAGTTGACAGCCATTACACTAACAAATCTACTGATGAGGCAACTTCTGGGCCATTTTCATTGTTTTTTCTTCATTGATGTATAGTGAGCATCTAGAATATGAAAATGTCTTTATCATACATATTTGGTCTCTCTTTTAGTTTTGGCAAACACAAACTTCTCAAAACTGACAACTATTGCACTTGTAAATCTTTCCGCAAAACAACTTTAGGGCCCCATGTCTATTTTTTCTTCATTGACGTAGTTTGAGCATCAGGAATATGAAAGAGGTGGCAGTTTTTATGTTTGGACTCCCCTTCGGTTTTGGCAAATAGTTTATTTTCAAAGTTGATGGTCATAAAATTTATAAATCATTCCATGAAGAAACTTAGGGACTGTGTTGGTATTTTTTTTCTTTAGTAACATAATTTGAGCATCTAGAATATAAAATCGGTGTGGTCTTGTATATTTTCACTCTTCTTCAATTTCAACAAACACCATCCTGTCAAAGTTGATGGCTATGCTACTTTTCAATCTTTCCACAAAACAACTTTAGGGCTCATGTCGTCCTTTTTTTTTCATAATTTCATTCCCCTACTACTTGGCTCCTAAATTATATCACACATTTTGATTTAATTCTTGAATTATATTTTGTGAGCCTACCAAATTGAATGTACCCTGAATGAATTTTAGAATGAGTGAGTGCGTTGGGGGAAGGGGAATGAGTCAACTTCAGTCCACGTCACCAATTTACAATCAATATTTTCCAATGAAGTGGCAGAAAGCAACTTATGGTGAAGACAACTGAGTCGTTGTCATCATAGTTCCTATTTTAGAATGCAGTTTGAGCGTGTAGAATATTAAAACGGCTTCGTTTTACATGTATGTCTCATTCAATTTCGGCGAACACTAGTTTCTTATAAGTTCGTTTGGTTAGGAAGAAAAAAATGATGGAAAGTGAAATCATTAGAATAAAAATACTTTTATTCATGTATAAGGTTAGCATGAAAAATTTATACGAAAGTTTAGAAAATTTTAATTTTATTATTTGAAAGGTAGGAAGGCTAGAATTAAATATTCCTTATTGTCTAGATTGTCCTTATCTGTATCAAACTTGAATAAATAATAATAAAAAATGTATTATACCTAAAAAATAAAAAAATTAAAAAGTGTCTCCTAGGCTATTTCTTGGACAATGATCGACTCGACCACAGGAGTGCGGGATAGATTCTATGGTCACCCATCCCATACCAAGCTATTTAAAATTAATGAAAAAAATGAATATTTAAGGACAAAGAAGGGTAAAATGGAAACTCAAATTATACATCATCATTTTCTTGTGTTTTTTATAAGAAAAAAGTTGGTTATTTGTGAAAAAATCTATGCATGTGAAAAAATTAATTCTTAATTGTTTTCCATTTTATGCTAACCAAACACATAGAAAATTTGTAAATTTTTCCTTTCTTGCATTTTCTACCATTATCTCACTAATGACTGCCATGACACTTTTAGATCTTTTTACGAAGCGACTTCGGGGTCCGAGACTTTTTCTTTCTACATGGACATAGTTTGAGCATCTGGAATGTGAGAGTGCATCATCTTAAAAGTTGGTCTCTCTTTCAGTTTTGACAAACACTAGCCTTTCAAACTTGATAGGCATTACACTTTTAAATCTTTTTATGACGTAAATTTGGGGCATGTTTGTCTCTTTCTTCATTAACATCGTTTGAGCGTTTGGAATATGAAAACGATGGCGTCTGACATATTTGGACTCCCTTCAGTTTTGATAAAACACTGGCTTCCTAGAGTTGATGGTTATGACACTTTTAAAGCATTCCATGAAGCAACTTCAAAGATCAGGTCTGCCTCTTTTTAATTGACTTAGTTTGAGCATCTGGAATATGAAAGCAGCGTAGTCTTACCTTTGGACTTAGTTTCAACAAACACTAACTTCTCAAAGTTGACGGCCATGGCACTTTTAAATTTTTTCACAGAGCAACTTCGTGGTTCATGCCTTTCTTTCTTCACAATTCTCGAAAAACTTATTTGGTTCTAAAGTTAGATTGCATATTTTGGTTCACGCTTTGAACTATATTTTTCCTCAGTTGAATCATGGAATATTTCAATTTGAGCCAATGTGAAATTTTCATCTGTTAAATAAAATTACCATTTCAAGGATATAATCATACACCCCACTGGTACTTATGAAACTATATAAAATTCATAAGCACTATCAGTTTGAGAAAACACCAACTTAATGTTATCACCATCATCATTCGCATAAACATAATGTCTAGTTTTTTTTATCTTTTATAGGATTTGTGCAAAGCCCTTTCTTTAGAATTGTTTGCAGTGATGCATAAAGTTAACTATGCACGATCAAATCAGTCGAATGTGTAGCAATTAATAATATTAGACAAATATAGGACGTTTGGGTATGGGTGACCTAACCACGGAAGGCGGCAATGGTGGTCGGAGAACTATAGATTACAAGGTAGGAGGGAGAGAGAGAGAGAGAGAGAGAGAGAGAAAGAGCAAGAGAGTACGTTAAAAGTGAGGTGTGTGAGATCTGTGCAAGTGATTTATAATTTATAGGCATAAAGCCTTAGTTGTGGGAGTAGCGTGAAGGCCAAGCTACTAATTTATCGGAAAGAATAGCTACAATTAGAGATATGCATTATCTTAGAGTAATGACTATCCCGATAATTACTCTCTCACGTGCTTTGACTTTCCCTAAACTCTTGAGCTTTGGATTGAACTGAAGCTATGAGCTAAGTTTTTCCTACCTTTTGATAATTTGGGCTTAACCCATGAACTAGACCCAAGCCGGGTCTAAATTTGGCCTCGTCAGCTGAATTTAGGAATAGTAGTTAATTTTTCATTTTGGAGTGCCTAATAACTTTTCAAAGTACATTAATGAAATTGAATTCATTCACACCAATCTAGAAAAATTATCCCATTAAGTATCGAACCAAACTAAGTACGCAAATTTAACAAAATAAGAACTAACAATAAAATAAGGTAAATGCTCACTACGTTAATGCTTTAAGTCATCAATAAAATCAATTCTCAGTTACAATAAAATGCATACTCTAATCTATACTACTAATAAAAGGAAGCTAAATGAAAACTTTTTTATTTTCTATAATACCCTTCATAAAACATATAATTCCCTTCAACAATTTTCTTTTATCTTCTCCAATTAATTACATACTCCTCTCCGATTCTTTCATCTCCTTAAATTAGTTATGTATATATACTTAATATTTTATGTATATATACTTAATATTTTATGTATTCATTTCACCTTTAATTATTGATTTTAACTTGAATGGTGTTCATACCATTATGAATAATAACAAAACAGTACACTACCACCTTTTTGTTTTCTCACATTATGGACTCGGTAACTTTTGAACGTTTTATTCTAACCACATGAATTTATTTGAGATTTTAATATTTTTAGGCCAAAATTTTATTGTGGCTATAAGAAAGTTTGAAAATTTTCTCTTAATTTGATGTTTGGGATTTATGGACATGGAAAAACCAAGAGTTTATAGTAACTACAAAAAAATTTTAACACTTTTTCCCACTTTCCTATAGGGTTTCAAGAATTGCTGTAAAATGTTCTTACTTGATGTATTTGTTTGATGTGAAAATATCCTCTTTATATAGTAAAACTCGATTCATAGGTAATCAATCACCTTTGTCCTTATTTATATGTGTGGGGGATTGCATAT